TTCATATACAAAACTGATTTTATTTAGTTGAAAAGTAATTTGCCTAAATAGCAACAAGTCCAGCAAATTCTAACAATTTTACGCAATCAAACTGAAAAATAGGCATTTTGTTTCATTGATTATTTGTAATGAAATCTGTACTTTACACCTATGTTTGTATTTAAATTCACAAGAAATACATGAATACAGACACGTCTTTCTAGTAGCTAGATCGCGCAGCGCCCCTAAACTGCAATACCGCACGAGGTTTGACGTAACCAAGCGCATACGAAAATACAGATCCGGTCTTTACACGCTATTTTAATCTTCCTTAGCAACCAAAGCGTTAAAACAGATCGAATGATATGTAAGATGCGAAGTGATACGGTGAAATCAGAGGTTGTAGCAGTAAAAGTCAATAATTTCGAACTATATTCAATAACATTTCAAATGGCGATGCAACACAATACAATAGAGGAACGTTCAGCTGGCGAAAAGGAGAGATAAACATTCGTCTGATACTTAACGGTTGAACACTACCTCGCAACTGGACCGGATAAAAACGTTTCAAAAACAACAGACGTTTTTCAGCCCCACTTTGGGTGTCTAATGTTACTTGAGAAAAAAACTAATACGCAAAAAGCCAGGCTAAAATGTAGTTGAAGCCATATACGGAGACTTTATGGCGAACCTGCTTTAAGTACATGTCATACAGCTGTAACACCGCGCTTCCTCCTCCAAATAAATACATAATTTTAAAATAATGTCTTACCTTTTACCGAGTCCCTTCTGAGAGCATTGAAATGAGAGCTGCCGAGCTCCCTGCCATGAAACAAAAATGGCTCTCAAAGCTTCAGAGGGCGAGAGTTTCGGAGTGGCTGACTGGAAGAAGGGGCGGAGCTATCGCGGAAATAGCTAGCTAAGGTTAAAAATTGTTTATATTAAGTGCAAAAGAAGAATTTCATGTTGTTGTGGACGATGGTCCAGAAAAATGTATGTTATAGAGAAGGAAAAACGGACCACGGACCATTCAATTATTAAACATTTAATGTATAATATTAATAGTAATACAGTCAAGAATCGTCATAAATAACTTGGTATACATATAACAAATATATATGTATATATATGTTTAATTAAAAAAAAATCACAAAAGGGTGATTACATTCCTACAGGATTTGCAGTTTAGCAGTGGGGGATGGGCGATCAAGAGCCCAACCCCCAAAAATGGGATTGAAGAACATGCTCAACAATAATGATGGGAATGTTGGAATGTACAACTTTGTACTAGAAAAAATATAAAGGAACACCACTTGATGTTGAACTTCCAAACTCGTTTTTCACAGATTTCACAGAGGTGTGGCTGTATGACATCATGTTAGCATGGCGCATCTCAGAGAGGTGATGACAATTCACTTTTAAGGAAATAAAATGCATCAAACTTTGCACAATATACAATAATAAAACCTCTTTAACCAACATTTGTAGAGACTTATGAGTAAAACATGACAAATTATCCTCCATTTTGATTACAGACCTGCACACAAAACCCTAATAGCACACGTACATCACAGAGATGTCTATTTGACATCTGCATTTACATCTGCAAGATGTATTTTTTAGTGTTTGCTCATCTGCAATATGTCTATAGGACATTTCCTATTAGATGTCAAATAGACGTTTAGAAAATGTCTTTAAGATGTTTATGATTTAGAATGCATGTAAAACTGACATCTTAAAGATGTCTATCAGATGTTTGTACACAGCAGATGCTTTCCAGATAAAGCGATCTTTAGCAGACATCTTGCAGATGTATGTGTGCTGTCTGGGAATACTACCATTGCATTGCTTATCCTCAACAGTTTGGTTGCTAGGAGATGTTTTTTGATGATAATGAACTGCAATGCTAATGGCAGCATTGCTATGTTGTTTCCTTACAGATATTGGAACGTCTTCGTAGCCAGACGTTGGACATTTCAAGATGGAATATCCCATAGCTTAGAATGAAATATTTGAGTTAAATATTTGGTAACTTTTGGGCTATCTTGTAGTGTGGTATTAGTCAAATCGATGTGCCTTTATCTAGCTCATGCAATACTGTTGCTAACTCCTAGTGGCTTTATTAGATAGATGATCATAGCGGCCATATATAGTGATTTCTCCTAATTTTTTTCACTTGTTCACTTTGGTTTGGAGGGACATCCTCCCAGTCCTCCTGATGGCGGCCATTTTATGATTTGGTGGATGGGTCAATGAGAGTCAACAAATTATGACATGTTCTGCAATGAAGAAAGCTTAAATAATATAAGCAAATGAACAAAGAACACAAATGCACAAAAACACATTTAAAAAAAATCTCATATATTACAGCATTTGTTGAACTTTAGTGAACATGATGTATCTCTAAAGAAGCATTAGCATTAGCACCTTAGCATTAGCTATCTTTGCAGGCATGTGGTATAGTTGCAGCTAAACCATGGCGGTGTTAGCTTTGTTGCCAGCAAAAGGTGCCCAGCAATGGCAGAAAGACATCATTGGTGAGGTGCACAACATTTAGTAACTGAGTTTTTCAAATCATGTGGTTTGTTGAGGTGATCTGTCAATTTTTTGTCTGATCTGTCAATTAATCTGACTTTAGCTAGGCCGAAAATGGACAAAAATCTGTTCAATTTGTATTGAATGGGGAACTCAAGCTTTATCCAGAGACCAGAATATCATAGAGCCTTGGTAGTGGGCTATTTTTACTGAGGTTAGTGAGCAACCACCTAGCAACCATCCAGAGCACCCTAGCAACTGCATAGTAATGTGCTAAAATCAACTACATTGCAATGCCATGGCACCCAGCCTGGCATAATACCGGTGACTTTTACATGAGCAAACATCACTTACCTTTTCTTCAGAAAAGCAAACTGCTACAGCATATAGACACAATATATTAGACAACACCAAAATAGAACTAGCACACAAAAACTCACACATTACCGGTAAACACCACTTTTAGATTTGTAGTAGAACCACATATCCTGAGTAAATTATCAATAAAACCACAATGACAAATGCTAGCTAACAAAAATATGCTAAAGCTGTCAGTTCTAAAAGGCCATGCTAGTTATTCTAGTAATAGTGAATCTTGATGCTAGTGGCCATTGTACAAAGCTTTTTTATTATTAATGATATATCAGTGGAAACGTGGCTAATTAGAGGGTGTCTTACGAGCCAGTTACCAGCCTCTTTAGTGGTTAGTTAACATAATTCATTTCACTACTGATACTGTATTTTTCAATGTTAAAACTGCATGCATAAATAGATTATTTAAACAAGTTTCCCTATTTATCATTGATCAGACAAACACCCCTCACTCCAAACTTACACCATTGGTTGAGATATTATTGCTGTGCAACACCACTCAAACAAACAGACTGAAATTTCAAGTGGCACAGAAATACACACTGCAGCTTTAAGTGCCATATTCACAAAAAGAGAAGCACGTTTATAGATTTTCATAAATTTAAGACTATGACTGGCATATTAAAAATACATATATAAGATATGCTGTTTTCAGCATCTTGAATAAGATTTTAATATCAATCTCAACACAAAAGATGCTAAAGCCACTCCCATCAAAACCCACCAACCCCCCAAAAAGATATGTCAAGTCAAGTCAACTTTATTTATATAGTGCTTTTAACAATACAGATTGTGTCAAAGCAACTGTACAGCATTAATTAGGAAAATAGTGTGTCAATAATGCAAAGTGACAATAGTAAACACTCATTTTTTAGTTAAAGGCAGTTCATCATTGAATTCAGTGATGTCATCATCCAGCTCAGTTCAGTTTAAATAGTATCTGTGCAATCAAGTCAACGATATCGCTGGAAATGAAGTGTCCCCAACTAAGCAAGCCAGAGGCGACAGCTGCAAGGAACCAAAACTCCATCGGTGACAGAATAGAGAAAAAAACTGGGGAGAAACCAGGCTCAGTCGGGGGGCCAGTTCTCCTCAGACGAAACGTTTCCTGATGATATCTCCCAAGGGTAACATGTAAAGCGTGAAGAGTAACGGCCCCAGTACTGAGCCTTGAGGTACTCCATCCCAGGAGGGATGAAGACCATCTCTTTTCAACAGGTCAGGTCTTCCCCAAAAACTCGTCCAATTGTCTATATAAGTAAATATATTTAGATAATCCAGTTATTATTTATTCAGGTTATTGCATTTGAAAGAGTGCCACCAAAAGTCACTTATAAATATTCCATTAGAATAATCAAATGAATTCCAATAATAAAACAAAAGGTTCTTCCAATGAAATGTTATACAAAGAAATCTACAGAAAAACACACAATGTATAATGAAAGTCTTGTTTTTAATGTGTAGGTCAAATTCATTACACACATGAATGAACACTTTCAATTTCATCTGGGTTTTCAAACCATTTAATGGATGCTCTCAGCTTCAAAGACGCTAACCTGAGTCTTAAATGCATTTTGAGCCTAAAATGAATTTTAAATGGGACATTAACTCCAAAATTTGGTCTGGTCTAGAAGCTGATCATAAGAGGTATTGTTTTGCTCAAAGCTTTAGGCCACAAAACATATTGAGCAACATGCGAATTACATAATTTTTACATATCTCAAAGGGGGAAAATATTACTGAATCAATAATAGTGCAGATAGCAGAGAATCATGCAAACTATTTACAGTTTATGGGCTCAATCACAAGACAAAATATCTGCACAAATACTATAAATACAACTGAATACTGTATATTTAACACTGATGCAATATATATAAAAGGTTGCATAAATAGATTTGACAATCAAGAAAGAAATTCGAGTCAGTTTTTTCAAGTATATGCGGTATATAGTACTTATAGAAATTGTTCAGCACAAGACAAAATATCTGCACAAATACTATAAATACAACTGAATACTGTATATTTAACACTGATGCAATATATATAAAAGGTTGCATAAATAGATTTGACAATCAAGAAAGAAATTCGAGTCTTTGAAATTCGAGTTTCCAAGTATATGCGGTATATAGTACTTATAGAAATTGTTCAGGTTCCTTTCACCCATAAACATCTGAAGTGGGTGAGAAGACGCATAAAACACTATAGGACAAAATACATACAACAGAAAACATTTTAATTGTGTTCATTATTGGTTACCCTGAACCAGGATCTGCAGTGGAGATGTGGTGCATTCAAGTAATTTGGAATTACCTTAATTATAAGTTCACAGGTATTAAAAATCACTCACATCTTTGTTAAACTCGTAATTTCTCAAGTTGCTCTGAATATTACCAATAAATATGGTTAATATTCAGACATCAATGCAGCATCAATCAGTCCTCAACCTTCTGCGCAACTCTACAAAACGTCCAATGATGTTCTACTGTATTCTCATTGGCGCGTTCACTCATGTGATGCACCCGTGTGTTGCGAATCGTGAAGCCTTGCTTGGAGATGTACTCTACCAGATGCACCCGAAGGGAAACCTCTTGGTGGTAGTCACATGGTCCAAAGGTAAAGGACATTTGAAAGTCTCTGGTGTCCATCATGTGTTTATTCCATCTGGTGAAGTTGTTGGAGATGTCTTCGAGTAATGCATGAACTTTGGTGGTGACGGTGAGTTGGGTGATAATGACTGCCACCGGGTTTGAGTACTTGGACAGCTTACGAGTACTTGAAAGTTCTACCACTTGCTCAAAAGTGTCCAGTGGATAAAGGGGTTTGGTGTCTCCTAAACACTGGATCAGGGGCTCTATCTGATAGAAGTCTGCTTCCTTCCGAAGGAGCTCTGTTTCTTTGAAGTCACATGGTAGCGTCAGTTTCGAGGTTCGTAAAAAATTTAAGATGTAACGGAATAGAGGACCATCTCGATCTATAAAATAGTTGCCCTGGGCGTCTCGTGTAGTGGGAAAATCACCACGAAACATGGCGCCCAACATAGAGTCTGGATAACGCTGGAGGGTGGAGAGTGACGTGGTGTACAAATGGCCGCCAACGTTTAGGGTAACCGTATCCATCATCTACAACAAAGAAGAACATAAACATAACATTTTGGTCCTGCTGAGAATGTCAAGAAGGTACTTGTACTAATACAACAAACACTCAACCATTTCCTGCTATGAAGACCATTTTAGACCAAGATGAATTGCCATGCAGGTCCATTGATATGGTGCTGTTCTAGTTGGTGAACCATCAAACCCATGCTGCTCTCCAGAGAACTTCAACCGGCTTGGTTTTTCTAGTAAACTGGTTTACCAAAGAAGACTTGCTTGGGTCCATCCTTGAAAACAACATTTGCTGCTTTCAGCAGCATTGGCAATACCCTTAGGAACATTGTTTTCTATGGGAAACTGAGCTTCAGGAAGTATGGATTGTATGGTTTAAACCCCCACATGAAATGTTTTCAAATTCAACCCTGTTCTTCATAAAATCTTGGTCTCACACAAAATGGACCACTGGGATAAGACAAAATGGCCAACCCTCCAGGCATTTTAATTTCCTTTTTGAGTCATTGGGGGTCCTGTTCTTAAGGTGGCAAGCATCTATTTAGTAATGCCCTAGAAACTACCCAGAACACCCTAGCAACTGCCTAACAACAGTTTAGCATCCAGCCTGACCAATATTTAGGGAAACTGTATCCATCATGTACAACCAAGAAGAACATAAATAGTTGATGTTCAAAGCATTAAAGATGCATTTTGTACCTGCTGAGAATGTCAAGATGGTACGGATATGAAAGACCAGTTTTAGACCAACAAAAATCTCCATGTAGATCTATTCATTTGGTGCTGTTCTAGTTGATGGACCATCAAAACCAAGCTGTTCCCAGCAAAACCAGCTTGGTTTTTCTAGCAAAGCTGGTTGACAACAGAAACCTTGACAACAACATTTGCTGCTTTGGCAATACCTTAAGGAATACTGGTTTCTATGGAAATTCTAGTATGGTAAACTGAGCATCACACCAGTAGTATGGTAAACACCACATGAGATGTTTTTGAATTCAACCACAAAAGCTTGCTCTCAGACAAAATGGACCACTTAAAGGTGCAGTATGTAATATTGACAGCAAGCGGTTGAAATAGTTACTACAGTCCAAATTCAAAATATTGTCTAGAGTTGTTTCTCCCACCCCCTCAGACTCGACACTCACATGGGGTTGTCAAATTGAGGACACGGAACAGGAATGAGCCCAACTGACAATGGAAGGCGACAAGCCTCACACAGTAAGCTGATGAGATGATTTATCTGCGTTTTAACATGCCTCTGATCATAGGGATTTTTCGATGGATGCCGAGGCTTTTTAGGTCAGGTAGAATCTGTGACCCAGTTTGTTTGCTGGCTTCCATGGCTGCAGTACACTGTGTTTTCCGCCAATTGGCAACCTGGGGTACTGAGATACTATTGGGTAAATTGACAGTGGACAGAATCACACTGACTAAGTCTACGTTTACACTAGTGCATTTTCATTTTAAAACGCATAACCTTTGCTACGGTTACGCCTGTCGTTTACACTACCCCAGCGTTTTTGACCGTCGAAAATGGAGACTTTAGAAAATGCTGCAAACCCCATTTTAGTTTGAGAACTCCGGGGTTTCGTTTCAGTGTAAACGGACCAAAACAGAGACTTTTGAAAAATGATGGCATGGCTGCCCACATTCACTCTGCATATCCTTGTCGACCGTGTAAACAATAACATCATGCTCATTGTTGTACCTGCATGAATGGTCATGTGACATTAGGGCTGGGACAATAAATCGATGCATCGCGATTTTTGTGGATCGATTCTGAGATTTTCGGAATGCATCGGGATTCTCTCTCAAATCGATTTTGAGCTTAGTTTTTAACAGCAGATGGCGCTCTAGGCTAGTTTTTAACCGCACACTCAAATGCTCAGGAAGAAGAGTGCTTGTGTGTTCGGCTGAGTAATGTAAGTGGTTAAATGTACTTGCACATCGACTTTTAAGCTTTTATGATGCGAGATTAATGTAAACATAGCCCACTGTGAACATCCTTGTAATTCGCTTCAACCTTTTCGAACTTTATGAATGATTATTTTAGGTTCAAATGGTGCGTGTGCAAGGAACTGGAAGCAAGCAGAATACGGCTATTTCTAAAGCACGCAGTGCCACCTGCTGTTAAAAACTAAGCTCAGAATCGATTCAAGAGAGAATCGCAATGCCTTCGGAAAATCTCAGAATCGATGCAGAATCATTTCTCGATTCGCGATACATCGATTTATTGTCCCAGCCCTATGTGACATGTGTTTTCGGTTGTGTAGTGTGGACGGAAAATGTTTCTGTAATGCAGTGAAAACACAAGTGTAGATGAGGATCGTTTTCATTTTAAAACGCACTAGTGTAAACAGACATTCCGACACAAAACGCACATTTTAAAGTAGAATAACTGGCTATAGCATTGTTTTTCGGAGAAACAAGTATGTGAACTTAGCAGGTTTCCTATTTATCTGCAAATGTATTATGGTATTTTTATGCTTTAGTACATTCAAAAAATTACATACAGCACCTTTAAAGGGGGTCGCACACCGGATGAGAAGCACAGCACTGGGCCACGTATAGAACAATAGGTATCACACCGGACGCGTCCAAAACAGTTAATCTAATCACCAAACAGGCAAAAGCTCACTTCAAGAGTGAACAAAATTGCGTCAATGAGTTTGAAGTATGGTGTTTGCCAAAACAGAGCAAACAGAAACAGAAAGCGCATTCTATGTTATAACAGCTCTCTGGCCACGTTCACACAGCAGCAGAATACGGTTGTCAGTCCTATATTTGAGTCCTTAATATGGTTATGTTCACACACAGTATGGTTATTTACGGGCGTGACAACCGCATTCTGTAACTGAACTCACACCTGTAAATTTTCAGGACTCACAACCGCATTCTCGGAAAACCCACACTGTGAACGGAACAGGACTGGACAACTAGTTGTCTGTCACGTCATACAGTGAAAGAGAGAGCCGCTCTGCTGCACAAACCCGTGTTTACCATGAGTTGCGTGTTTTCATGTGTGGTTTCAGTAACTTACAGTGACGGAGAAATGAGCTGTGTGTCATCTGAAAGTTTTAGATCCGTCTCCACCGGAGCCGCTCCCGTCAGTTTTGTGCATATGCTCCGCTCTCCACCCAAAATATAAAATCTGCTGTCGGTTAATGAAGGTTTGACAGATGAACTTGCGGCTCAATTGGACTCTTGTCGTGTCAGAAAGTGATAAGAATTTCAGTTTTATGGACATCGCCATCTTTTATTTTACTTTGGTCACTGTTGCTATTGTTACTGGTAAGGAATACGGGCTTGACTCCCCTTGCACGTTCATAGAGACGGTATTCAAGACGCTACTGTAAGTTGTTGTGTGAACGGGACATTTCGAGACTCACACCTCTAAATGCGGTTGTCAATCCCAAAAACTGACAGTGTGAACGTAGCCTCTATATAAAGTGTACAGACTTTATTCAAGCCACAGAAAGACAAACGTTTTGCTGAAAAATGCACAATTCACAATCTTACAGCATAAGAAGAAGACATTATGTACATTAACAATCATTCTGGACAAATATAATGTGATTTTATGGAAAATTATGTAAGTGGCGTTCTGTGGCGCAGCAGGATTTTGAACAATGTCCTGAGTCGTAGCTGGCCACTGCAGACGGACGCTGAATGGCTCCGCCAATGTGCGTACACTCATAAAAAACAATGTGTTTGAATTGTAAATTCAAAGCAACGGGGCGCTGCGCTTCTCGTCCGATGTGTGACCCCCTTAAGACAAAATGGCTGGCCTTTCAAGCCGGTTTCATTTCCTCTTTGAGATATTGGAGGTCCTGTTTTTTTAAATGGTAAGCAACTGTTTAGAAACACCTTAGCAACTACCTAGAACACCCTAGCAACTTTAACAATGTCTTGAAAACTACCAACAACCTAGAAACCACATAAAACAGTCTAGCTCCTGCATAGAAAGCATCCAAACTGTATATTAGCATTGGAATACGGATTCCCAAACTGATAATTTAAAAAAGGCAAAAAAACTATCAATAAACAAACAAACAAATAAATAAAATTGTTTGTTCTAAATATTTTATTTGTTTGTTTTTGTAAACAAATATTTGTTTGTTTTGGTTAATGTGAACATTAACCAACATTAGATATCCACGAACAAGCAAATGTGTTGTTAAATCAAAATAAAATACATCACAAAATTATTGATGATAATCAAAGATGGTGTAGCACGCGCAAAACAAATGCGTAATCAACAGTCTATCGCATAATATGAATAAAAACCGATTACTTATATTACCTCGTTGCAAATACGTTTTCTTAGGAATCTTAATCTCTCCTCCTCGTCCGATGGACTTCAGTTGTTTCCTCTTGTCCAAAGCATCAGCAATACGGAGGACAGGGGTTTAAACACGGAGAGTTTGCTTTCCTCGGGGGGCTTTCATGATTTTTCCGAAATTGAAGAGCAATTTGAAAGCCTTATATTTTAAAGAGAATCGGTTGCTTGAGTAAAGGCTGTAAAATAGCTGCGATGTGGATTCACAGAGCAGGACAGATGAGGGACATCAGTGTGGGATGAGCGGAAATGACACACCCACGAAACAAGCCCCGCCCATTATGCAAATCACCGCCCTGTCTGCCTTTGTAACGTTTATCCAAATCACTTAAATCAGCAGAATTTATACTATGATCCTGACAAGTGTAATGTACTATATGAGGATTTATTTTGTCAGATTTCAAACAGAAAACAAACAGATTTCAAAATGTTCTCTTTTTGTTAAAAATGTCTCTTTTTTTTTTACATCTTTATAATTTATTTCTACTTTTTGCCTTTGTAGAATACTTTTATTGTAATATTTTATATTCTGAAAAATCTATCCTGGTTACACTTTTAAGCTCTAAATTATATTTGAGTAAAATAAACATAAAACATTACATTTCCTCACCAGCCAGTGCCGTTAAGCACACAAATAACAACTATACCTCAACTGTGTCATAATTTCCACCATAAA